CAACGCTAGCTTGAATGGCTGTTCCGATCTAGTGAATCGAAGTTTAGCATGAAACGGACAATGGCCGACGAATGACAAGAAACTTACCTGGAACAAAGTTATAAAATCTTCTAGATTTTTCTCGTGTTTAGTAATGGCTCCTTTGATCTTATCTCGGGCCCAAAACCCTTTGAGGCGCGAAGCATTTCCCCACTCCTCTGCATCACGCTTGATTGCTTTGATATTCCTAGATATAATATAAGGACAAGAATGGGTAAAATAAAATAAATCTAATTAACAGCACACGTACTCTTCCAACTCAGACAATCTGTCTCTTATTGGCGTGCCATCCCGCATGCGCCCATTCAGCCGTGCGTTCTCCTTGCCGAGAAATTGGAGGATACGGAGGATACGCTCGGCAAGGAATGAGTAGCTTTCATCGTTGTCTCGCATTTGCTTTATGATAACGATGAGTTCTTTGGTAACACCTAGAGCTGAGGACAGCGGGCTAGCGAAAGGTATGAGCTCAGAGACCTCCTTCAAAAGCGTGGCTACTGTGAATGCTCCAGCTAGAACGTTATCCGCCAGATCCATATGAACCGGAGTGCCATGAATTGTACGTGGGTTGAAGGAAACTGGGATGTTCATGCTTGAAGAGCAGCTGGGGCAGAATGGGAGGTGGTGGTCCTGTTATCGATGGTGAGAGTCTAGACAAGCTATGTTGCGATGGGAACGGAATTACATAAGGGCCACAAACGCACCTGCCTTCCTGAGAGGAATGGCGATGTAATATTATCACAATTATTATTTTCTATCATTACCAGTTCCAGACTTGTCGAGCGTCCGGCGGAGTTCTGTGTTTGGAAGGTTCGTTTATGGGCTGTACGTCCGGGCATGAGTAACGCGAAAGGTTGATAAAATTCACGGGCTCCGTCCCTTTTCATGTCCACGAGCGAATATTACGATTCCAAAGAGGTGGTCATTTTCAATGAAACCGTAAAGGGATGCGTCCAGCGCGTTCAATCTGCTAGTTGGCTTTACCCTTACCAGCTTGATTCATCCGAGCCTTTATCACGAGATAGCAAATATATCATCAAGGATTTTAGAAGAACAGGGTGATAGCGGGTGATAGTAGTGCAACCGCTTAAGCTTGAGGCTGACCCATCATTCTACATTTAGATGTCAATAGTGATGCCCCTGGCTGGCTACGGTTGGCTAGTCAGCCAATCGACCGGCTCCAGCTCCGTCTGATGGCTGGAATCAACCTAGCCACTAAATATGTATTCATGGGTAAGTGCAATACAGTCTCGCCTAAATCGCTAGACTTAGACGTGCTTAGCGTCAATGGGAAGAAGACCAAGGAAGGAAATGGTTTTCGAGGTGTAACCATGGATTCCGCCAGAAGGTCTTAGCATCATACAATGAATACCTCAGTCATCTTTTCCGTATGTACTTGCTAAATGCTATCAGGAGGATACATACTTACGAGAATATTATAGAGGACTATCTCACCGATGTTGTCCAAAGCAATCTCGGCTTGGGATCTGATGATGGCAATTAATAGGATATCAGTGTTGAGCCGAATATGGACAGGAGAAAGGCACGGATGTGTTTGAACTTCGCTCTCCGATGCAAAGACCTTGAACCACCCTTCTTGTGCTTGGGTTGGTGGGTGGTTCTCTTGTTATTTTTGAATATATTAAATTTTCTTGGAATTAATGTCTGAAATGATGGTTTTGAGACAACAATGGAGAGCACAAGAGTAGCCTGGAGCCTTTGGACAATCACTGTCCAGATGATCTGGACACTAGGTAGCCAGTCTGAACACTTCGGAATGGGCAATGTCCGCCACAGCAATCCGGGCGTCTGGACTGTCTGGACCGTTCCGGATGACTTAACACCGTTACTGATGGAGAGGTCCCTATGTCAACTGTTCAACCACCTCCGCAAAAACAGCAGAAGTCAGGTTGGTATTATGTGGAAGTCTAGGCATACCTTCATGCCTTCCACTTCCAAGACTCTATAGCCTGGGGGAGTTACATAACTCAGATGACTGGCCAAATGAGCCATGGTGCACCCGGCAAAATGGTTCCTCTAAGTTTTATTTCAATTTGATTATCTGTCTGTAGTCCATTTGAGAAACAATATATATATAAGGATCTTCCTCTCAATTATCCTCAGTCAAAATGGTAATTCTTCAGCTGTACCACATTATTCCTTTACTGTGTTTGATGCTCTTTTTCATCTTTAAATAAAATTTTCCCTAAACGGAGTTGAATAGGGATAGGTGATATCTGACCAAAAGTGTACATCTCTTGCTCTATATACTCAATGTGTAATCTTGCGCATGGTGCCTTGAAAGCTGAATGAGATTGTTAGCTACATTTGAGTGATAGAATGCAGCCTACGGATGTACACTTATCACAAGTCAGCCAAATATCCCTGATCTTAGGAGGCATCTAATGCACCCATAATGAACCAATAATAAATCCCACCCATGTCTCAACTCTACCCTCCTCCTCAATTACTGAATCTGCAATTTCTTTATATGTCTCATTCACTGGAGGCTTGTACTGCACATTGACGATACCCTGCATCTCAACTCCCCATGTTGTCTTTCCATGGAACCCACAAATGAATGATAAGATATCTTGGAGCTTGGTATTAGGATACGATTGCAGATAATGTTGATATGTTGAAATTAGATGGGTATGGGTGTCAATGTCGGTGTAACGATATCATGCAAGGCAGGGTGTGTGAGGGTTATTAAGTGCAACTCTTCAGGGACTGGAGACCTGGATTTGTGACCCATGGTTCTTCAATATCTAATAGGCCTTGCAGCAGTAGTGAAATAAAAAATAGGAGGTTGTCTAGCGGTGCAGAGGAACGGGTGAAATGTCGACATGTGTGTGGAAGTCCGCACACCCATGACTGCCCACATGTCCCACCATCTCCCGCTGCCTTGGAGAATCTCAGATTCTAGGCATGGTACATGGACCATAGATCTCTTCCTAGTATTATTTCCTCTGAAGAATTACTTACAAGCCAGTAAACGAAGCAAATCAGTCATTTAACCCAGAAGACCTTAGTGAGGTAAATGCCGTTTATGAGATACCAGATATTTACTGTATTTGTACAACACAGGGAATTGATTCTTCTCAACTTGAAAAATACACCTATGACACTCGGTTTGCCATCGTAGACAGCATAACGGCTGGTCTATTTTGTATGTAGCTCCTTGTCTGATCATTCATTGGTTAGTACATCAGGAAAGTGCACAATGGTGTCTAAAATTTCCCTAGCACTAGAAACAGCTAGGATCTTCTAGGGAAATGATGAGGTGCCAGGGGCAGCTATCCTCACAAAGTCTCGCTAGTGAACTAGAAATGAACTTTAGCTGGTTTGAACAACCTTCAGTGTCAGTCTGACACTTGTAACTTAACACTGCACTATGACCTCCGCCTTGTGAGACTCTTTGCAAGTAGTCATTTTCTGTTTTCTTTTATAATGCGAGATTAATACGGGCCACCTTTAGCATATAGCTCAGTTTGGTGGCAACGAATGAATTCATGCAGTTGTTGGCCACCGATACTAGCTCCCATGTTGCAGATTCAGGGGTTGAAGTGGTGAGTTTTCTACTGTATCATCTCCCACTGTCACTCACGAACTTTTAAAGTGTCAAAAAGCATCAACATGCCATTCCATAAACCTAAGTGCCAATCATGTTGAAGAGTGGTGAACAAAAATCGGAGCCTTGCGTCGATTTGAGTTGAATGGCCTCAGGTATGAATTTCAACCAATCCTCCATAACTTGCAGAATAGCTGAGTTTATATGGATGAAGATAGGATGCAAAAATTGGATGGGTTGTGTAAAATGTTCACATTACAGATAAATTCTCATTGGTAACTCAAAAACACTTTAATTTCTGCTCCCTATTCCCTCTGTTGACTGCTTTTCATACTGTTTACATTTCTAGGGAAACTAATCTTTGTTTTATCCATGGTAATGGTAAGTTATGAGCACAATTACTATAGTACAATGGTGCCAGTAGAGCACAGTTGCCGTAACGTTAGCATCCCATGGAGACTAATTACTTTGATATTCTAAGTTTATACTTCTCTTTCTCTACAGTACTAACAAGCCATTCAGGTATCAAAAATTTTGACCAATTGAAAGTCAAGACTTCACCTCACCGTGGCATATCAACCAATCCCAAGACATCTGTCATTAAAAGGTCAGTCTGGAAGTCCAAGTGTATGACAAAATTCCACCAACCTGTACAGTGCATAACAACTAACCTGAAGTTAGTTTCTCAGTTGAATTACCAGAGAATGTCTGCTGACCCTTTCTCTGCGGATGTGACAAGGAAGACGAACGAAGACCCGACTAAAGGAGAGAAGTTATTTCAGGGATCAGTGAATGATGGCTCTGTAAGTAGCAGTTCACCGTCAGACATATCTCAAAGATCTTATGAATATCATATAAACAGGAATGTTCGTCAATTTCCCGCCAGGAGCTAGCTCTCCCATGCATTCTACCAAGTCCATCGATTATGGTATTGTCATTGAAGGAGAAATTGAGCTTGAGTTAGATAATGGAGAAAAGACCGTACTCAAAGCTGGGTATGTTTCACATTATCGTAGTAACGAGGACTTAATACTAATTTAATCAATTTTTATAGGGACGTAATTGTCCAAAGGCAGACAAAGCACGCTTGGCATAATCGACATGCAACTCAATGGACCAAAATATTTTGTGTTTGCATTGCTTCAGCAAATTCTGTAGTCGAGAAGAAGGATTGATGAAGGGTGTTCGGGTTTGGCTCCACAAAATCTTCCTGATTCTGGAAGATCGATTCTTCTTGCATTAATAACTTATTTTAAATTATACTCCATTTACAAACGATTCAATATTTATGATCTGGAATGTATGTCGAATATTCCGTCTTTCATTTGGTTCGGCCGCCAATCAACAAAGTATTACGACCATCGGAACAGAGTTGCATTTTCTGTGTTTTGTTCGCGTGGTGGTCTAGAGGTATGATTCCTTCTTTTGGGTTTCTATACTATCTGAAGGAAATCCCGGGTTCAATTGCCGGCCAGACCTTTTTGCCTCTTTTGCGAGGAAACAATATAAGTACAGGCGTGCGAAGTTTAAACTTATGGCCATGCTATTCAGAGTGCCTTCCAATCTTTTAAAGGAATAGATATTCATTGTCAAGAGGTTATCTAATAGTGCAAAGATTATTTTGGGAACCCACATGAGTTTGCATTCAGCATACTCAGAACAAGGAACGTTTTTTCATAGAGATTTCAAGTTCTTCAAGGACGTACGACCGTCGACGAGTTGGTTACCAACCAAGGGTCTCAATAATACCATCTCAGGTGACCTCTTGCCACACATTTTAATTTTGAATTAACCTCAAAGTGATCCACATTCGATAGAAGCCGACAGTGGGATGGAGAGTCCATTGATAGAATGGGAGGTACTTATTGACCATCTCCATCTCCATAAATAGAACAAATATAATGGGCTCGTCAACCTTCGAAATCGGCAGGTGTCCTGCCAGTCGGAATGAGTACCACTAAGAATCGGAGCTCGCTTAAGTTTATAATCGAATTCCTTGCAAATGTGCCAGCCCCCCCCCAACGTAAGCTTTCCACACAGGTAAGGTGGACTGCTAACGAGTCCAGCAACACGCCGACGAGGTCCTCAGCCATAAACCTCAAGTCAGCGGCTCTGAAAGGATCCCTCGGACTCCCGGCTACAGCAGCATCCCCTTCCTCACGATGAAAATAGCACCCGTTTACGAAACAATAAATAGACATACCTAAGTGCATTATGAAGCACTCCTTTCGTTTGCAAGTCGTCTATGGCATCGTAATTGATTGCATCCGTTTTATAGTTACGAATTACCATTGAATAACCAATATATCCTTAGAGAAACTTGGAGACGCCACAGGGTGATATGTTGCATTATAGGAGTCAATTTAGGTGAATTCGGACCGGCATGTTTATTTATAGGGAAAGCGTACGTGTCCTTCGGCAGGCGATTGATGCTTAGTAACATTTCAAATTGGATAATTGGGAGGGAAGGTTACTATATAACGATGACAATGCTGGCAACCTTATACTTTCTAGATCTGCTACTAACTATTCAGCTTTAAAACATGTCTCGCTCCGAAGAACCAGTTGCGTCGGGCTCCACTGCAAGGCGAGTTGTCACCGGTCTGGGAGAGGATGGTAAAGCGAAAATATTATATGATGATAGGGAAGGGAGGATAGAGTAAGTTCTATCGTTGTCAACAAGCGCCATGCGGTTCTGAATTAGGCACGTATTCAATTAGAACCTTTCCGAGCGGCTCAATGTAAGTCGTAGCGTCTTAAAAGTGACAATGTCGGGCCTTATTCTATCAGCTTCCAGAACGTTTGGTTGACTGATAGCGTTCCTGCTGATGTGACAAGGGAGGCGAACGATGACCCAACTAAAGGAGAGAAATTATTTCAGGGACCAGTGAATGATGGATCTGTAAGTATCAGTTCACTGTCGAACGCATCTCAAAAATATTATCAATATCCTATAGGTAGCAAATTTTGTCAATTTCCCTCCAGGAGGCCGCACTCCCATGCATTCCACCAAATCCATCAATTATGGTATTCTATAGCCTGGGGGAGTTACATAACTCAAATGAAAGCATGTATTTCGGGCTGATTTTTTTATATGTTGTAGCCCTGCTTATTTCGTGAAGATTAAGCCATGTTTGAGGAAAAACGGCGGACCGGTTCTTGAGATATAAAATCCGCAAGTTTATTGCATTGGGAGGAGAAGACGAAAAGGCAGTATTTGTTTAATACTTATCAAAGTTCAATATGATTCTAATTGACCATGGGTAATATTTTGGAGTGATATAGTGGGTGTATAAAGTATTAATTTCAGATATGAAGAAAGGAGACTGTAGTGATATTATTGGTTAAATTGATTACAATATACTAACTAGAGATCTTCACTATCTAATAGTGAAAACAGATCATTTTGGGCTGGGTTTTGCGAGCCCCTAGGGTTAGTAAACCCTAACTTATGTAAGCAGCTTATGTTAGTAAGCATGGATATGTTCTATTAAAATTCAAGACAGATAATGGAAGTCGAAAGACAGTGATATATTGATATTGATTACTTATTGTTAATTCAGCAATATAAAATACTTTCAACACATTGTTCAACTCAAATGTCATGCAAGTGCAAGCTTTGGAAGCTAGCAAGTGAAAAGTAGGCTAGTGAAACTTGAGACTAGGTTGAGATTTCTATAGCCTGGGGGAGTTACATAACTCAAATGAAAGCACAGATTTCGGGCTGAGTACTTTATATGTCGTAGCCCTGCTCATTTCATAAAGATTGAGCCATGTTTGAAGAAAAACGGCGGACCGGTTCTTGAGATATAAAATTTGCAAGTTTATTGGGTTGGGAGGAGAAGACAAAAAAGTGGTATTTGTTAAATACTTATCAAAGTTCAATATGATGCTAATTGAATATGGATAATAATTTGGAGTGATATAGTGGGTGTACAAAGTGTCAATTTCAGATGTGAAGAAAGGAGACTGTAGTGATATTATTGGCTAAATTGATTACAATATACTAACTAGACATGTTCACTATCTTCACTCTCAATGTTAAAGTAATCAGACTGCTCTTCACTGTGATGCTGCTCCTGCTCCTGGATGAGATCTCCATTCAACTCTTTACTATGCTCTTGCAAGTGTTCTGGTTGTATTTCTTGATTTTGATTGGGACTGCTCCCCTGGCTCCTATCTGTATTCCCCATGCACACAGCTAGCCACATGCAAATGGGGCCATACAGCTTGAAGGGGTGGTGTCAGTGTTTAACTAAAAATATCTCCATGTATCCAGGGGCCAATAACCTGGGGGCTAGACCCTTAGATCTGGGTGTCATCAACTCCATTCTTTTTCTAAGGAACTCACAATAGGTATGAGGCACTGGAAAGTAAGGATGAAATGAGCACAGCAGGGGTTAAAGGGACTGTGGGAGGATGGGCTGGTCCGGGACGAGCCCGGGACCCATCTGGGACCGGGGCGGGGGGTTGGAGGGCATGCAGAGAGCATGAGAACAAAAAGGAAATGATCTAGGTGAGTGTTAACCCTAAACGAGGGGTCAGGGTGGATTAGGTTACCCAAAATGGAGGGGAATGAGTATAGGGGTTGACAAAATCTTGCCCAGAGCTACCTGCTTTACCTATTAGATGATAGTATATGGCTGTCAGACTTTGGGTATTTTCATGATCTTCCAATCAGTCACATCAAAATATACCAAACATCTTCCCCAAATTCCACTGTGAAGCACTATATACTCTAATTTACTTATATCATTACATGAACATACTAAAATCTGAGTCCTGAGTTGCACAGTCTGTGACAGATTCATATAGTCTACAGTTGATAATATTGTTTCAATCAGAACATCTGCAGTAGAGTTTAGTACCACTTTTGGCAAATATCATATATGTGATATCACTGTTATGTCCTGATATGGAAAACACCTGGTAATGCACACAGAAGTTTATGGTTTCAAGTGGAAGTGTTACAGGCTGATCCTAACGAAGGGTTCTGAAGCGTGACCGAAGTAACGAACAAAGTCACACTAAAGAACGAAGGGTTAGAACCGAAGGACTTGGCTTCAACATCGTGGGTTGCGCCGTCTCGAACTGTACATGTCCTTAATTTGGAACAGATTAGAACCAACAATATAAGAGCGGATTCGAATACCGAAGTTCCGAACGAAGTGTTTGAACGAAGTCTGAACGAAGTCCCGAACGAAGGTAGGACTTCGGAGTAAGATCAAAGGTTCGAGG